AGCAGCGCCCTCCCTTTGGCTCCTCACTCTCCACGGGACTCGGAGGTGGATTCACATAGCAGCCTACACTCTGTATGCAAAATCCCTCAGCCTCCCCTAACCAGGGCTTCCTGTCTGGTCAGCTTCTTCCTCTTCCACAGTCCTCAGACTCTGCACAGCTAGACTCCATCAGGCCTTCACCCAGCCACCAGCTCTCTTCAAACTCCAGCTCAGTTCAGCTACGATCCAGTTTCACTTTGAACCAAGGAGACCCAAACCAGATGGCGTACTTCCTCGTTTCATGACCAGGATATTCTCTCGCTCTCTTTCTCTCTCCCCGCTCTCTCTCTACCCCTTTCTGACCATATTGCATAATCAGCCTCATCTGCTTACACATGAAGTTTTCTGGTGGCTGTTTTCCATACTGGTTATCCTTGTGCCGAGAGTCAGAAGGAGGTATAGTGTCATGAAGCTTCTTTTGGATTTTCTGCTTAACAAAGTGGATCTATAAAAACCGCTTGTATTCTTGTTAATAGACCTATTACTATACTTGGTTGGGAGGAGATATTTGCTCTCTTGGTTTCTCTATAAAGATCCTCTGTGTACTTACGTTGCCTCAACATGTGTTCATAAATCAAGAGTTTGAAATACATTTTCTTTATTTGGACATTCAGTAAAACACATTTGTGTCCGGGCTCAGTGACCCATTGCAACCATATAAATGTGGACGAATGCCAAGTCTAGCTTAAAGCCAGTATAATCCATAGGCCAGTGGTTCGAGCTAGCCTCTGAACCTATCCCCAGCCTGGAGCATTGGATAGGAAACACAGATTTAGAGAACTCATCTCCTGTTTGCTGCCAGACCGCATGCTGTCCCCGTAAGAAGAGAACATGGTATCACGGGAGCCTGCCTACCCCTCGTGACTGGCTGGGTGCTGGGGTCATTCTGCTATGTGGATTGTACAGCTGTTTGGGCTGAGGAAGGGGGCTGACCTGTGTCTTTTTTTTTTTTTTCAGTGTACAAATAATACATGAACAAATGGTCATATTTAAAAATTTAAACAATAGTATAGTGTGGAACTATATAAAGTACAAAGTGAGAGCTCCTCTTTCTCCATCTGCCAGGCCACGCCTCTTACCAAACATGACCACTACTAACAGACATTGTAATTGCACTTGCAAATATATAGATGCACACATCCCTCTATATACAGGTTTTGTTTTACTATGTTTTACATAAATTTGGATCATCTTGCATGTATTACTCTGCAGTTGTTCCTTCTCACCTGTTTTTTGGAGAACTTTCCATGCTAGGACACATAGGTCTACTGCATTTTTTGGTTTGCTTTTTTGAGGCAGAGTCTTGTTCTATCGCCCGGGCTGGAGTGCAGTAGTGTGATCTCGACTCACTGCAACCTCCGCTGCGTGGGGTCAAGCAATTCTCCTGCCTCAGCCTCCCTACTAGCTTGGATTACAGGCATGCACTACCACGCCTGGCTAATTTTTGTATTTTAGTAGAGATGGGGTTTTGCCATGTTGGCCAGGTGGTCTGAAACTCCTGACCTCAAGTGCTCTGCCTGCCTGGGCCTCCCAGAATGCTGAGATTACAGGCATGAGTCACCACGCCCAACCTACTGCGTTGTTTTTGTTGTTATATTTTCTTCTTTGTTTTTATATGGTGATAAAATATATATAACATAAAATTTGCCATTCTAACCATTTTTAAGTATTCAATTCAGTGGTTTGAATTATATTCACAATGTTGCACAGCCATCCCCTGTGTCTATATCCAAAACTTTTTCGTTATCCCAACCAGAAACTCTGAAACCATCAAGCAATTATACCCCATTTCCCCACTCCCAGCCCTTGGTAGCCTCGACTCTACTTTCTGTCTCTATGAATATGCCTGGTCTAGATATTTCATATAAGCAGAATGATAAATCATTTGTCCTTTTGTGTCTTGCTTATTTCACTAGGGGTGATGTCTTCAATGTTCATCCATGTTGTAGCATGCATCAGCACAATGCATTCTTGGTAATCGCTATACATTATTTCATTGTACGAATGTAGCACGATTTATATAATTAACTTATATACACATCCCATATTGAAAATTGTACCAAATATTTCATGGTTAACAACTGTCTGAAGCTGGTGCACAGAGGGGATAAAATAATTTACCAAGACAGTATTGAGTTTGGAAAGGCAGATTTATTTAGAGAAAAGGGAGAGATACATTGCAAGGGAGCTGCGGGCGAGGCGGCAGAAAGAAGGCAGGGACTGGAGGGGGAGTTTTCGAAGGTTTGCTGCTTGAGCTGAACGCTTGCAGACAGGATGCCTGGGTGCAGGTGGACTGTGGGCGGAGCGCCTGTAACAGGATGCATGAGTGCTAGTGAGCTGTTTGTGGTTGACCCTGTTTCTCAGAACATTAGCTCCCCACTACCCTTGTTTCTGTTTCTGTCAGTGAAGCCTATTTTTCAGTTTTCTTTTAACTTCTTAAGGTTCCACAACTATTCTCTATTCTTTTTTTTTTTTTTTTTTTTTGAGACGGAGTTTTTTCGCTCTTGTTACCCGGGCTGGAGTGCAATGGCGCGATCTCGGCTCACCGCAACCTCCGCCGCCTGGGTTCCGGCAATTCTCCTGCCTCAGCCTCCCGAGTAGCTGGGATTACAGGCACGTGCCACCATGCCCAGCTACTTTTTTTTGTATTTTTAGTAGAGACGGGGTTTCACCATGTTGACCAGGATGGTCTCGATCTCTTGACCTCATGATCCACCCGCATCGGCCTCCCAAAGTGCTGGGATTACAGGCTTGAGCCACCGCGCCCGGCTTTTTTTTTTTTTTTTTTTTTTTTTTAAGTCGGAGTCTCACTCTGTCGCCCATGCTGGAGTGCAGTGGCCTGATCTCAGCTCACTGCAACTTTCGTCTCCGGGGCTCAAGTGATTCTCAAGCCTCAGCCTCCAAAGTAGCTGGGATTACAGACACCGACCACCATCCCCAGCCAATTCTATTCTCTAGTCTCTGTGTGTAAAAGCTATGTACTGAGAATCTTGGTACACAAATCTTCGTGCACAGGTGAAAGCATGTTCCAGGATCAAAGTAAAGTAAGAGGAACTGCTGCATGAAAGAATATATGCATTTAAAATTTCGAGGCCAGGTGCAGTGGCTCACGCCGGTAATTCCAACAGTTTGGCAGGCTGAGGCGGGCAGATCACCTGAGGTCAGGAGTTCAAGACCAGCCTGGCCAACAGTGAATCTCTGTTTCTGCTAAAAATACAAAATTACCCAGGTGTGGTGATAGCCACTTGCAGTCCCAGCTACTCCACAGGTTGAGGTGGGAGAATCACTTGTACCCAGGAGGCGGAAGTTGCAGTAAGCTGAGATCTTGCCATTGCACTCCAGCCTGGGCAACAAGAACAAAACTTATTCTCAAAAAAAAAAAAAAATTGATAGCTATTGTCATATTGCTCCCTAAAAATGAAGTACCAATAGACCCTACCACCCACAGTTTATATAAATGCCCTACTTCATATACTCTTACAGACTGCATCTCAATCTCTTAAAAATCTTCCAATCTAATGATCAAAAACTATTTTCTGGGCTGGGCGTGGTGGCTCACACCTATAATCCCAGCACTTTGAGAGGCTGAGGCGGGTGGATCACCTGAGGTCAGGAGTTTGAGACTAGCCTGACCAACATGGTGAAACCTCGTCTCTACTAAAAATACAAAATTAGCCATGCGTGGTGGCGCGTACCTGTAATCCCAGCTACTTGGGAGGCGGAGGCAGGAGAATCACCTGGACCCGGGAGGCAGAGGTTGAGTGAGCCGAGATCATACCACTGCACTCCAGCCTGGACAAGAGCGAAACTCTGCCTCGAAAAATAAATAAATAAAAATTGTTCTGTATTTTACCAATTGATTTATTCTTTGGACTTTATGTACAGTGCTTTAGTTTAACTGGACTTTCTCTTTTGTTTGTTTTCCTTAACCTTTTATTATGGAAAATCTCAAATTATTTTAATTATTTTTATTTTCATATTTTTAGCACAAAAATACAAAAATTCTAAAATGTCACTGTTACATCACAGATACACATACATATACACATCTCTCTATATATAATTTGAGTTCTTTTGTTGTTGTTGTTCTTTTTTTGAGATGGAGGTTTGCTCTTGTTGCCTAGGCTGGGCTGGAGTATAATGGTGCCATCTCAGGTCACTGCAACCTCCGCCTCCCGAGTTCACAGGATTCTCCTGCCTCAGCCTTTCCAGTAGCTGGGATTATAGGCACCTGCCACCACACCCAGCTAATTTTTGTGTTTTTAGCAGAGACAGTGTTTCACCATGTTGGCCAGGCTGGTCTCAGATTCCTGACCTCAGGCGATCCACCTGCTCAGCCTCCCACAGTGCTGGGATTACAGGCATGAGCCACCATGCCTGGCCATAATTTGAGTTCTTTTATAAACTCTTTATTTTGTGCTTTTGACCTTTTTATCTGTGTTTGCGCCACATGGTTTTAGATCCTGTCGATTTATCATTTGTTTTGTTACCAAATAAGGCAGATAATGTGTTATCAAGTTTCTCTTCATTGATTTTTTTTAAAGCAATTTTGGCTTTCTTATGCTTATTCTCTCTCCTAATAATTTTATAATTTTTAATCTGCATGTTAAGATTTTGTTTGGAGTTTTATCAAATTCCAGTTTGATTGTCTAATTTAAAGACAAATAGTGACTTTATAGTAATGAACCTTTCCAGTCACTAATACGGTTTTTTATTAGGTTTATTTCCACATATTTTGCTATTTTTTCTCCCATTTTCAAAAGGATCTTTATTTCTCCATGCATTTTATGATTGGTGATGGCTGGTACATAGGAAAGCCTTATTTTTTATAAGTTGATCTTATATCTGACTGGCCACTTTGCTGAACTTATGTTTCAGACATTCTAATTATTTTCATGTTGATTATTCTGAGTTTTCTGATTGATAAACATATCATCTGCAACTGGTTTTTCTGTTTTTAGGCTCATGCAGAGTCAAGTAAAACCTGGCTGAAGGGGATATTCACTGAACTCAGATTACTACTTGATGAAGAGGAAGAAGCGGCCAAGAAATTCATTGATAAAAACACACAGCTCGCTCTCCAGGTGTACAGGGAACAAGTTGACTCTTGCAAAGAGCAACTTGACGTCACGAACGATCTCTCCAACAGGGTCTGGAGTATCAGCCAGGAGCCCGATCCTGTCCAGAGGCTTCAGGTAATGCTGGGGTCACTGCCCTTAAAGCTGCCACCTGCCACCCACACTTCATCACAGGTGTTGTGGCATTGAGCACAGTATTGACACACAGAATATTGCCTGGTCACCATGCAGACTGTCTTGCCTCCACACAAGTGTTCAAGAAAATATACATTTTAGGAAGATAATCTACATCTTGGGCTAATTAAATAATATTAACCAGGCCGAGCGTGGTGGCTCAAGCCTGTAATCCCAGCACTTTGGGAGGCCGAGGCGGGTGGATCACGAGGTCAAGAGATTGAGACCATCCTGGTCACATGGTGAAACCCTGTCTCTACTAAAAATACAAAAAATTAGCTGGGCATGGTGGCGCGTGCCTATAATCCCAGCTACTCAGGAGGCTGAGGCAGGAAAATTGCCTGAACCCAGGAGGCGGAGGTTGCAGGGAGCCGAGATGGCGCCATTGCACTCCAGCCTGGCGTGCAAAAAAAAAAAAAAAAAAAAATTAGCAGCCACCAATTTCAAAGGCCTCTGTGTTCTAAGCACTGTGTAGCTTAGCACGAATATTCACTAGAACTCTGCAGAGTGGCCTCACCCCATTTTATAAACAAGAAATTGAGGCTCAGTAAAGTGAAGTGACTTATCTGGTCTCACACAGCTGGTAGGTGGCAGAGCTGGGATCAGGTCTGTCTGTCTGTCTAGGTCTGACTCTAAACCCACAAGACACCTTGCCTGGCCCTCTGCCTGTATAGTCTTAAATTGAGACACCCCTCCTGAAAAGGCAGGTGTCCTTGCAGCTACTGAGCACATGTCAAAAGCCGAGTCACAGTTTGCTCAATGGTACTCCTTGGCCACTGGGCTTTGTTGAGGAAGAGTCTAAGAAACAGCCCCTGTGGCAGATCACTTGAGGCCAGAAGTTTGAGACCAGCCTGAACAGCATGGCGAAACCCCCTCTCTACTACAAATGCAAAAATTAGCTGGGTGTGGTGGCACATACCTGTGAGGCTGAGGCGGGAGAATCACTTGAATCTGGGAGGCAAAAGTTTGCAGTGACCCAAGATTGCACCGCTGTACTCCAACCTGGGTGACAGAGCAAGGCTCTCTCTCAAAAAAAAAAAAAAAAGAAAGAAAGAAAGAAAGAAATAGCCCCTGCGATACTCATTGCTACATTTGGGGAAAGCATGTTGTCAAGGGTGGTGTTCCTGTCCGTAAGGAACCGTGGAAGAACCTCTCGTCTGGTGGCAACACCCCTGTGCAGTCACTTCTGCACTAGAATTGCTTTATCACTGATAGAGCTCCTCCTGTTTCCTCCTTTGCCTTGGGATGCTCAGAGCCAAATCTGCTTTGCTAACCAGGCTAAGGCTTCACGGCGAACACTTTGTGTCTGATTTTCTCTTTGCTTCATTTTTCTCGCTATGAAGAAAAATATTGCCGTATTAGAGGACCTTTGCAAGATACTTTAAAGGCTGTGGGACAAGGCAGGGGACAACTAAAAGTGGCACCAACCCTAACCACAGATGAGCATGGGCTCTGGCTGGAAAATAAGACAGACAAAAAAGCCAGTCAACACAAAACCAGCCAAGCCAGTCCCCAGGTGGGGATTTCCACTCTTGTGTCTTATGTGGCCTCAGTCAGTTCAGCCTGTGTCTCTAATCATCAGCTGTTTCAGCCAAATTCTGGGTGAGGTGCTTTCCTAGGAATGAGTATTGTGCTTTAAGAAGGGCAAGATGCACAGAGTGGTACATTGAATTGTTTCTTTTTAAGTAATGATCCTTTTTAAGGCTATGGAATACAAAGGAGTGCTTCCACAGAGAAGCATGTTATTCTCCCTCATAAAATGGTTTCAGGGCTTTGCCATCTCTTTTTCTTAAATTCTGTTGTGCCAGCCAAGTGTGGTGGCTCACGCCTGTAATCCCAGCACTTTGGGATGCTGAGGTGGGAGGGGTCCTGAGGTCAAGAGATGGAGACCATCCTGGCCACACATGGTAAAATCCCATCTCTACTAAAAATAAAAAAATTAGCTGGGCATGGTGGTGCATGCCTGTAGTTCCAGCTGCTCCGGAGGCTGAGGCAGGAGAATTGCTTGAACCCCAGAGGCAGAGGTTGCAGTGAGCCAAGATAGTGCCACTGCATTCCAGCCTGGTGACAGAGCAAGACTCTGTCTCGAAAAAAGAAAAAAGTTCTCTTGTGCCAAAGCTATTGATTTGAATCATCCAGCATTCCCATCTTCTATGTGTTCATCTGTTTATTCATCAATATGTACTGAGCCAGGTCACCTGCTGGACATTAGGAGCTCACAGTTGGTGGGGAGACTTGCTCAGAAACAGTTATTTACAGTACAGCTTAAGCAATTTTGTAAATACGAAGCTAGCAAAATTATGTCCAAGAAATGTCTGACACTCTCTGGCTGGGAGAAGGATGCAGTCTGGGAAGTCTTCTAGGAAGAGGTGATGGTAGGGCTGGGTGTTGGAAAATGAGTAGGAGCACACTGTATATATAGGGAGAGCAGAGAGGACAGACAGGAACTGTGTACGTGTGAGAGCTTGGCAGGCTGGGGAACTACTTGGGGTTCAGCCTGGCTTGAGGAGGGGTAGGGGGTATAAGGGTGGGATTATTGACAGACACAGCTGGATCCATAGGTCATGGTTAGTTCATGAAGGGCCTTATGTTTCATGGATTTTAGCATTTTCCTGTAATACAATAGGAGACAGGAATGCGTTTTTGTTTGTCTGTTTGTTTTTGAGACAGGGTCTCACTCTGTTGCCCAGGCTGGAATGCAGTGGCTCAATCTCGGCTCACTGCAGCTTTGCTTTCCAGATTCAAGGGATTCTCCTGCCTCAGCCCCTTGAAGAGCTGGGACTACAGGCACGTGCCACCACGCCCAGCTAAGTTTTGTGTTTTTACTAGAGGCTGAGTTTCACCCTATTGGCCAGGTTGGTCTCAAACTCTTGACGTCAAGTGACCCACCCGCCTTGGCCTCCCAAAGTGCTGGGATTACAGGCGTGAGCCACCATGCCCAGCCTTGGAGTGGTTTGAACTGAGGGATAAAAGCAGTCACATGGTCAGATTAGTGCTCTAGAAAAGTCACTTTAGAGACAGAGTGGAAGATGGACAGGGGAGACCAGGACGGGAGGCTGGAAGGGAACTTGAGAGGAGGCCACAACGTCCAGGAGAGAGATGATGGTGGCCTGGACCAAGATAGGGGCAGTGGGGATAGGGAGAGACAGGCAGGTCAGGAGATGCCACAGGAATGGAGATTGGAATTGGAGAATGAGTAGGGGGAATCCCGAGATGACGCCGGAGTTTCTGGCCTGAGAGATGAGGGACTGGGTTTCCTGTTCTCTGAGTCTGCAAAGGCAGAAGCAGCTGTCCTTGGTTTCAAGCACTGATTTTTCCATCATACGTATGTTTTGAGAACCCATGTGTCTGGCCTGGTGCTAGGTGCTGGAGTTTGGGGTTATCAGGTGGTGACATGTGTCCTCTATCGACCCCTCACTCTACCCTACTCACCTGCCCTCTGAGCCCCCTCTCACCTCCTCGGAGCTGCTCCCTGCCCACCCTGGACTTCCTGCTAGTGCTCAGTCTTCCCTGACCAGCTCCATTCCAGTGCTCTGGGTGTGACCTTAGCCCTGGTTCCCCACCAAAATGAGGCTGGACTCTAGATTCCCGGCCTCCTAGGCTGAATGGGGCTTACAGGCCATCTCGCAGCCCCCTCCCAGTGTACAGCATGCTGCCAGGTAGGGCCTGCCCCTGCCCCACAGCCGAGTGCCAGGCCACCCTCCTCCCTCCTGAGGCCCACATCTGTCCACCCCTTCTTGGGCAGGCAGCACTGCCACTGCCAGCCAAGCCTGATGACTGGGGGCAGTCAGCTTCCTTCCAACTGCTGGCCAGGACAGCCTTTCAGAAAGTGCTGTCGCGGTTCTTACCTGCCAACAGGAGAATCCACTGGAACCGTTTTAAGCAAGAAAGGAGTTTATGGAAGAATATGAAGTAGCTGGTAGGATTTCCAGGAGGGCCAGAGAGTCAGGATGAATGACACATGGGCAGCAGGAAGGACGCCCAGGCTCCAGCAGGGGTTAGTGCCAGTATAGGCCCCACGGCGCCTCTGCTGGGCAAGACATCACCACTCACACCACTGACCAGAGCCCCCACCACCGCTGTCCCTGAGCGTCACATGCCACCATCGCGACCTTCACCTTCACTTCCAAATCCATGCTTTGGCTTGGAGGTGTCTGGTGAGACTCCTGCATCAAGGGTGCAAAGGGGGCTGGGAGACGAGGTTTTCTAGCTTCTCCTTACTGAAGCCACACAACACAGAAAGGTACTGAAGAGGGGCCGTCCAGGTGCAGAACAGAACACATGTTCCCTGCGGTGGCCACACCCCCTCAGTCAGCACTGCAGCTGAACCTTGCTGAGTCTTTTTTTTTTTTTTTAGAGACGGGGCTTCACCAAGTTGGTCAGGCTGGTCTCGAACCCCTAACTTCAGAACTTCAGGTGATCCACCCGTTTCAGCCTCCCAAAGTGCTGGGATTACAAGCATGAGCCACCATGCCTGGCCTCTTGCTGGGTCTTTGACGTCCTTCTTAGAACACAGTTTCCTGCTCCACCTTTGTACAAGTTCCAGGGGCTCCTTCCCCAGGGAGACTGACCTCTCACTCTTTTTGTACCCGACGCAGACCCATGGCACAGTGTGTGTGAGGCTGAAGCCTCACTGGGAAGAGCCCCTGTGTCAGCCTGACCCTGTCCTCTGCCAGCATAGCTGGCACAGAGTAGGCCTGAATGAACACAGAAGGAAGGAAGGAAAGGAGGGAGGAATCCCCAGTGCCAGCACTGAAAAATCACACCTCCACATGGCCCCCACCTTGGGGCTGCTGTGTGGTCTCTCCAGGGCTCCCTCTGCTCCTGGGGGCACAGCCTGGGCTGACCACAGGTACCAGGGCAAGGTGGAGCCTGGGCATGCTGGTGTGGGTTTGTTCCTGGGCGCAGCACAGGAGGCTGGGACACTGCCTGCATCTCCCAGAGCCACCCTGACCCCTGTGTGCCCACACAGGCATACACGGCCACCGAGCAGGAGATGCAGCGGCAGATGAGCCTCGGGGAGCTGTGCCACCCTGTGCCCCTCTCCTTTGAGCCCATCAGGAGCTACTATAAAGGTCTTGTGGAAGCCATGCAGAGTACACTACAGACGCCACTGGACATTCGCCTTAAGGAAAGTAAGTCGCCAGGTGACCAACTCTGTGTCCTTAACCCCCCTAGTGCCCTTTAGCCCAGAGGTGAATGCAAAGATCATCACCCTACATCCTGTCTCTCCCACACTGAGGCCCTTGGTTGGGCAGTCAGGGGCTCCTGGGCCTGGTGCCCAACCCACCCTCACTACTTCACTTCCAACCCTTCCTGAGACGGCGACTTGCCCTTCTCCCGTCACACTGCCCTGCTTCTGCCCTCAGATCGCTCCTGGGATCCTGCCATATCTCAGCCTTGCTCTGGGCTCCCAGCTGGAACGACCAACTCTTCCTCCTCCTCCTCCTCTGGCTGGGGCCCAGGCCCAGCACCCCCTCAAGACAGGCTGGCACAGCTGTGCCCACCTTGGAAGCCCTTTCCTGCCAGCCCAGCCCTGGCTCACTCCCTCCCCTGGCCATCTCCCCTCTCCCTTCCCGCACCAGGGCCTGCCCACATCCTGCTGGAGAGTGCTCATGAAGTGGATACCCTCTTCTTGCTCCTCCTTTGTAAGCACTTAAAGGGCAGGAACCAGCTTTGGGTCTACCTCTGAGCTCCCCACAGGGCCTGGCACAAAACATGTACTCAAAAATGTCTATTCATTGATTCATTTATGTGCTCATTCATTCATTCATTCACCTCTGCTATCATTATTCATTCAGAATATTTATCAAGCCCCTCTTATGTGCCAGGCATAGGAGGGCACAAAAGAAAGCTCCTTCTCCTCTTTTGGTGCTCATAGTCCTTGCAGGGGGAGACAGACAGTGCACAAACACGTCAGGTGACAAGAACTGCTATGAAGAATAATAAAGCAGGGCAAGATGGAGGACAGGAAAGTGACGAGGAGGAGGAACCATTTTTCTTTTTTTTTTTTTTTTTTGAGATGGAGTCGCCCAGACTGAAGTGCAGTGGCATGATCTCGGCTGACTGCGACCTCCGCCTCCCAGGTTCAAGCAATTCTCCTGCCTCAGTGTCCTGAGTAGCTGGGACTACAGGTGCCTGCCACCATGCCAGACTAATTTTTGTATTTTTAGTGGAGACGGGGTTTCACCATGTTGGCCAGGCTAATCTTGAACTCCTGATCTTGTGATCCGCCTGCCTCTGCGTCCCTAAGTGCTGGGATTACAGGTGTGAGCCACCACGGCTGGCCGAGGAGCTGTTTTACATAAGCAGTTGGGAAGGCTTCTGAGAAGGGGACACTCAAGGTGGCTCAAAGGAAGCGTTTGTTCAGCAGGTTCTGCTGGTCTGAAGGGCCAGAGAGCACAGTGGTCATAGGCATGGCCTCTGAGCCAGGTCTCCTGGGTTCCTACCCAGGTGTACCACCTTGGAACCCTGCTGAACCCTGCCATGGACAGGGCACCTCCCTTTTCCATGCCTCTGTTTCTGTATCTGTGAAGTGGAGACCATAACGAAGCCCCCTCTTCTGGGCTGCTTTGAGAATTGAATGAGCTCTTACACACATAGCGCTCAGGCATAATAAGCGCCATGTACGCCTTAGCGATTGTGATTTCTGCTGCTGTTACATCTGAGGGAGGTATTCTAGACAGAGGGAAAAGCAAGGGTGGAGGTCCTGAGGCGCGATGGGAGTGAGCTGGTCACAGAAGGAGCCGCAATGGGGACAAAAGAAGTGGAAGTGGAGTCGCAGGGGAGAGAGGAAAGAAATCCGAATCCCAGGATTTTGACCTGGGCAACTAACAGAAGGAAACTGTCATTGTCTGAAGTGAGAAAGCATTTAGGACTGGAGGGAATGAAGTGTTTGAACCTGTTAGATTTGAGAAGTTGGACTTCCCATGTGGTGGTATCGCCCAGGCAGTAGGACCTGTGACCTTAGAGTTCTAGGGGGAGGGGCGAGGCTTTTGCCTTGATGAAAAAACAACTTCACCCAAATTAAAGGTAAAGGAGCATAAATGAGCAATGAACGATTTGTGAATCGGGCAGCCTTCTCAGCCTCAGTACGTTCACAGACTCTAGCGCAGCCACGTGGTGGAAGAAGATATAGGGCCAGAAAAAGGACAGTGGCATACAGAAAACAGAAGTGAGGTGCAGAGGCAGCTGGGCTGGTTCCAGCTCAGCTTTTGCCTTATTTGAACACAGTTCAAACAGTTGGCTACATTTGATTGGCCAAAACTGGGTGATTTCCATATCCAGAGTAACTATTCTAGTAAGAAAAAAAAATAAAATAAAATAAAAACAAAAAAAACTGGGTGATTGGCACAAGGGCAGGCTACGGTCTGTTTACACCTCCGCTTGTTAAAGTTCACGATGCACAGAAAAACCTTTAGACCCAACTTCAAAGACGTAAGGAGACAGCTTTAGGCGAAACTTGATTTAACAGCGTGCAGGTGGCTTGATCTCCGCAGGCCCCTGTGGCGAGTGCTGGGAGTGCTGGGGGCGGACGGCAGGTCTGGGGAGGCGCTGAGCCAGCTCCAGCCCCAACAGCTGGGAAGGAGGCAACCTGGGCAAGAGGGGAAGGGTGCGGGGGCTGTCCAGGCAGAGGGCACAGCAAGTGCCAAGGGCCCCAGTGGCCCTGCTGTGCCCGCTTGCTGGGATGGCCTCCCCTCCTTCCTTCTTTGTGGGCACTCAGACCTTCCTGACTCAACTCCACTTTCTTGTTTTCCATCTTGACCCTGGAATGTGCGCATCTTCCCTGAGTCGTGGCCCATCCTTGAGTGTTGGGTCCGGTGGTGGTTCGCGCCTCAGCCTCCTCCTATTTAGGGCTCTCCCACACCAGCCTTGTCATCCTGGGGTTTTCCTGTCCCTGTGAATTTACACGAACCCCTTAAATCTCCATGGCTCTTGGGCCAGCTGCTGCGACTCTCCAGTTGTGTGGTATTTTTAGCATGTCTTATTTGTCTGCTCGCATGAGCTCCAGGCGCTCATTTCTCACAATTCCTTACAGACATGAACTGCCAGCTCTCAGACCCTTCCAGCACCAAGCCAGGTACCTTGCTGAAAACCAGCCCCTCACCAGAGCGATCCCTCTTCCTAAAATGTAAGACCCTGGGAGTGGGGAGAGGGTGGAGAGGGCGGAGGCAGTGGGATGTTGGGTGGAGGAGGATCATGGAAATGGAGGTCCGTCTTTTTTTCTCATTAGAATTTGGTTTTTTAATTATTATCTTTAATGATTTTTTTTTAAAAACATTAAAGACAAGTAAAACAATACATGTTCACTGTAGGAAAATTAGAAAACAAAAGAAAAATAAGTCTCATAATCTTCCCTCTTCCATGAACAACTATTATTTGTCCTTTTAGCTTTAGCACATCTAACATGCATATAATGATATATTTAATATATCTTTTTATTTTACAAATGCGGTGTCATACTATACATACTGTTTTCTCATCTGTTTTCATTTGCTGATATATGCTGAACATTTTTATTCTCTTAAAATATTGTATATGTAGGGCCAGTCCTGGTAGCTCACACCTGTGATCACAGCACTTTGGGAGGCCGAGGCAGGCAGACAGCTTGAGCTCAGGAGTTTGAGACCAGCCTGGGCAATATGACGAAACTCCATCTCTACAAAAAATACAAAAATTAGTGGGCATGGTGGTACGCTTCTGTAGTTCCAGCTATTCAGAAGGCTGAGGTGGGAGGATCACTTGAGCCCTGGAGGTGGGGGTTGCAGTGAGCTGTGTTCATGCTACTATACTGTAGCCTGGGTGACAGAATGAGACCTTGTCTCAATTGGAAAAAAAAAAAAAAAAACAGATAATGCATGCTTATTGTAGAAAATCAGAAATTACAAATATGTAAAAACAATTGTCCTTCCTAAGGAATACTTTTAATATTTTAATATATATTCTTTCAGATATGTGTGTATATTTTTTAAAGGGATATTATATTCTTTGTAATATTTTTCACTAACAGTATAGCTTGAACAATTTTTTAATTTCCCACCCTACATTGATGTGACAATTTTCTGTATCAGTAAATATATAAATTTTTTTTTGAAGCAGGGTCTCACTCTGTTGTCCAGGCTGGAGTGCAGTGGCACAACTATGGCTCACTGCAGCCTCAACCTCCAGGGCTCAAGTGACCCTTCCACCTCAGCCTCCCACATAGCTAGGAACATAGATGTTTGCCACCAAGCCTGGCTAACTTTTAAAGTTTTTGTAGAGACGAAGGTCTCCCATGTTGCCCAGGCTGGTCTCGAACTCCTGGGTTCAAGTGATCCTCCCACCTCAGCCTCCCAAATTTTGGAATTACAGGTGTGAGCCACTGTGCCCAGCCAATATTGTGTGTGTGTGTGTGTGTGTGTGTGTGTGTGTGTGTGTGTGTGTGCCTGTGTCTTGCTCTGGATTGCAGTGGTGGAGTGCAGTGGTGCAGTGCTCACTGCACCCTCGACCTCTTGGTCTCAAGCGATTTTCCCACCCCAACCTCCGCATAGCTGGGACTATTGGCGTCCACCACCACGCTTAACTAATTTTTAGTTTTTATTATTTTTAGAGGTTGCATGGCATTGCATTGAATGGATGTGTCATATTTAACCAATCTCATAATGTTAGATGTTTACAGTTTCATTTCTATAAACAATGCTGTAATAAATGTCCATTCTAGTACACATTTGTTGAATTAATGAATGAGTGAATGAACACACCATACCTCATTTTCAGATTATTTTTTAGGAGTAATTTCTCAAAGTGGAATTACTGGGTATCAATTTAAAGAAGACTCAACCTAAAGTAGGCTCAGTATCCAGTTAGCAGAGTTTATTCTAGTGCAAAGTAACCATCAGGGGACACAGGCAAACCAAAGAATGGTGGTCAGTGCTCCTGGTGTTGGGAAGCGGGCAGTGACTATCCAAATGGAGGCACTGAATAGAATTACATTTTCCATACAAAGGCTAACCTACTGATTTAAAGGCTGGGCATGGTGGCTGATGCCTGTAATCCCAACACTTTGGGAGGCCGAGGCAGTTGGATCACTTGACTGACATCAGGAGTTCGAGACCAGCTTGGCCAACATGGTGAAACCCTGCCTCTACTAAAAATACAAAAATTAGCCTGGCATGGTAGCAGGTGCCTGTAGTCCCAGCTACTCAGGAGGCTGATGCAGAAGAATCACTTGAACCTGGGAGGTGGAGGTTGCAGTGAACTAAGATCGTGCCATTGCCCTCCAGCCTGGGTGACAGAGTGAGACTCTGTTGCAAAAAAAAAAAAAGAAATAAATATTGATATAAGATTTGATTGGCTACTATTGATTACACCTAAGGAGTAAACATCCTAGTGAAAATAGTTAACAATCAAAAGGGTCTCTATCTCCAATGTCATTTAGTATAGGTTTGAATGAAGAATAGGGAATCTGGTTAACATATAACATCTCAACACAAAAGTCAGGAAGTAATGGTCATGAACCAGAGAAGAAAAACGGCCACATTATGTGACTCAGTTTCCAGGGTTTAACTCTTTCCACTTGGCATAATAAATTTGGAAAGTCCTGAAATTTTATTTTCTTTTTACACTGGACATGAATTTTTTTTTTTTTTTTTTTTTTTTTTTTTTGAGATGGAGTCTGGCTCTGTCACCCAGGCTGGAGCACAGTGGTGCTATCTCCGCTCATTGCAACCTCCACCTCCCAGGTTCGAGTGATTCTCCTGCGTCAGCCTACCAAGTAGCTGGGATTACAGGTGCCCAGCACCACACCCAGCTAATTTTTTTGTGTTTTTACTGGAGACAGGGTTTCACCATGTTGGCCAGGCTGGTCCTGAGCTCCTGACCTCAGGTGATACACCTGCCTTGGCCTCCCAAAGTGCTGGGATTACAGGTGTGAGCCACCAGGCCCGTCATGCATTTTTAAAGTAAACTTTAGTTGAAACATAAAATGCATAAGGAAAAGTACACAAGGCTGGTGCAGTGACTCATGCCTATAATCCTAGTACTTTGGGAGGCCAAGGCTTGCCTGAGCTCAGGAGTTCGAGACCAGCTTTGGCAACACTGTGAAACCCTTTCTCTACTGAAATACAAAAAATTAACAGGGTGTGGCAGCATGTGCTGTAGTCCCAGCTACTTGGGAGGCTGAGGCAGGAGAATTGCTTGAACCAGGGAGGCCAAAGTTGCAGTGAGCCGAGATTACATCATAGCCCTCCAGTGTGGTGTGGGTGACAGAGCGAGACTGTGTCTCAAAAAAAAAAAAAAAAAAAAAAAAAAGTGCACAAAAGTGTGCAGCTCAATGATTTTTTTAAAAAAGAAATATATTTTGTAATGACCTTCAGATCAAGAAATGGAAATTTTCACTCCCCAGAAGTCTTCCTCACGTGCCCTCTTGTTTACTATCCCCAACGGGAATCCACTCTCCAGACTTCTAGGACTATAGGTTTTACCTGTTTTTGAACTTTTTTTTTTTTTTTTTTTTTGAGGCGGAGTTTCGCTCTTGTTACCCAGGCAGGAGTGCAATGGCGCGATCTTGGCTCACCGCAACCTCCGCCTCCTGGGTTCAGGCAATTCTCCTGCCTCAGCCTCCTGAGTAGCTGGGATTACAGGCACGCGCCACCATGCCCAGCTAATTTTTTGTGTTTTTAGTAGAGACGGGGTTTCACCATGTCGACCAGGATGGTCTTGAACTCTCGACCTCGTGATCCACCCGCCTCGGCCTCCCAGAGTGCTGGGATTACAGGCTTGAGCCACCGCGCCCAGCTGTTTTTGAACTTTTAGTAGATCATTCAGATTGTACCCTTCTGTTTCGCTTCTTTCGCTCAACATAATAATTATGAGATTTATCCATTTTGTATACTGACATATTGAGTCGTTTTTTTTTTTTTTTTGGAGACATAGTCTTCCTCTGTCGCCAGGCTGGAGTGCAGCGGCCTGATCTTGGCTCACGGCAACCTCCACCTCCCATGTTCAAGCATTCTCCTGCCTCAGCCTAAGTAGCTGGGATTACAGGCATGTGCCACCACACCCAGCTAATTTTTGTATTTTTAGTAGAGACAAGGTTTCACCATGTTGGCCAGGATGGTCTTGATCTCTTGAACTTGTGATCTGCCTGCCTCAGCCTCCCAAATTGCTGGAATTCCGGTGTGAGCCACTGCACCTGGCCTGAGTGGTTGTTGTAAATTCATTTAGCACTTCTAAGCTATCCACAGATTTTTGGGGATTTTCTGTAAATAAGCATGTCACCTGTGAATAATAATCTTTCATTTCCTCAATCCTTATTCTTGCCTTTCACTTTTTTCGTGCCTTGAGTTACTGTCTACTACATCTAGAACAGTGTTCAATAGAAGTGCTTGTAATGAGCAGCATTTTCTTCCACCTTGGATAAATATCCAACAGAAATGCATATGTGAAGCAAAAGACCTGCACAAGAATGTTATGTGACTGAAACGCAGGTTCAATCACTCAATGCTTTGCAGAGTCCAATTAACAAGAGCGAGGTCTGGCATAAAGAAAGTGGCCTTTTTCCAAAGCTTAGCTTAGGGGAAGAGGTACAGGCTCATCCTGCCCTTAAGGATACGACCTCACTTTTGGGGCAGAAAGCAGATGCTTTTAAATGGAGACTTTGTATGAAGGGCATGCAGGGGAGGAGCAAGCAGATGGGGGTCTACATGACTCATTTTGGTGCCTCATCTACTACATGGGTGAGCTGGTGCCATTGACAACAGAACTAGGTTGTACTGTGGCCATTGTGTTGAGATATTCTCCAGGTGTAAGAGTTCTGACCCAGGCATACTTCAGGTGGTAAACTTACTGTTGTCTCTCGAGGCAAATCTGGTGGGAGAAAGTTCTGGTTCCTTCTATGGAGGCAGTTAGATAAGCTTGCCCTGTAGGGGATTATCTGGTGAAGGAAAGGTAATGGTTATCATTGCATTTCTAAAGAGCTAAGTAGGGGAGAGTATGATGGCTCACACCTGTAATCCCAATTCTTTGGCGGGCAGAGGAGGGCGGATCACCTGAGGTCAGCAGTTTGAGACCAGCCTGGCCAACATGGTGAACCTACCCCCACCCCCTAGTCTACTAAAAATACAAAAAATAGCTTGGCATAGTGGTCAGCAGGTAATCCCAGCTACTTGGGAGGATGAGGCAGGAGAATCGTTTGAACCTGGGAGGTGGAAGTTGCAGTGAGCCAAGATCGTGCCATTGCACTCCAGCCTGGGCAACAGGAACAAAACTCCGTCTCAAAAAAAAAGAAAAGTAATTGTATTGGTGGTTTCAAAAGCTTTTTAAACACACTAAATATTCAACAACAACAACAACAACAAAATAGAGGACTAAGTTACGTGTCCAAACATCAAAATTATAGAATTTCCACTAAAATGCTCTTGTGAAAGACTATTATTTGATGTGGCAAAATGCTCCGTAGTAGATCAATCAATTTTAAAAAGCAGATTACCTAACGGCATGTATGGTGTGACACCAATCTTAAAGCTGTAAAGAACGGGAGTGGGTAGGGCGGAGATAGGAAGTAACACAACCTAGTGTTAACAGTGATGGGATTATTTTTAATTGCATTTGTATTAGTTGGCAACAAATTTCACAGCACAAAATTCAGACAGTATAAAGGGTGTGCAGTAGGGTGACCACTGCTTCCCCATTCCTCCAGCCCCTGCTCCAGGGACAATCGAGGTTAAAAGGGGTCTTTCACTCCTTCCTTAGGCCATTTTCGCGCTTCGCACTTTGTGCTTCGCACGTGCGTGGGTGGGTTCCAGGGGGCGGGCCGCCGCGCTGGCCCCGCCCATCAGGCGCGTACCCTGTTCCGCCCCCTGCAGACGCGCGCACGCCCACGCTGGATCCGGACACGATGCACGCGCGCCTGCGCCTGTCTGCAGACCGCCTGACCGTGCGCTGCGGCCTGCTGGGCAGCCTGGGGCCGGTGCCCGCGCTGCGGTTCGACGCGCTCTGGCAGGTGCTGGCTCGCGACTGCTTCGCCTCTGGCCGCCACTACTGGGAGGTGGACGTGCAGGAGGCCGGCGCCGGCTGGTGGGTGGGCGCGGCCTACGCCTCTCTGCGGCGCCGCGGGGCCTCGGCCGCCGCCCGCCTGGGCTGCAACCGCCAGTCCTGGTGCCTCAAGCGCTACGACCTTGAGTACTGGGCCTTCCACGATGGCCAGCGCAGCCGCCTGCGGCCCCGCGACGACCTCGACCGGCTCGGCGTCTTCCTGGACTACGAGGCCGGCGTCCTCGCCTTCTACGACGTGACGGGTGGCATGAGCCACCTGCACACCTTCCGCGCTACCTTCCAGGAGCCACTCTACCCGGCCATGCGTCTCTGGGAGGGGGCCATCAGCATCCCGCGGTTGCCCTAGGGGCCAGGACCAGCGTGACAGCCTCCAGGTCTGTACCTAGATCAGCGTGGCTGGTCCCCTTACTACCTACTTCTCAGGGCCGTCTCCCTGCCCCAGCCCTCCCCAACCAGTCACACCCGCAGTGGTTTGAAGGGTTCCTCTCCTAGGCTAGTTTGAAACATGCCCTAAACAAGTCCGCTGCTGCCCTCTCATCAGACCTCCACACCCCCACCCCCACCACTTACTCTACTCTAGGCCACTTCCTTCAAAGTGACATACCCACAGATAACCCTCAGCATCCGGAACATATCATCCACCACCTGGGAACTTTCTCCCTCGTACAGCACAAGAACCTGGCACATAGTAGGCACACAGTAAATATCTGTGAATGAATGAGTCATCCAGCACTGACTCTTCTGTCCCGTGAGGTCTCTTGGATCTACCGCTTCCTTCTCACCTATTTCATCTTGTCCACATCACACCTTCCTCCAGAACAACTGTGAGAGCTTCTTAGCAGTTCCTGGTCTGAACCCTCTCCCAGTCCTCATCTTTCACCCTAAAACCAGGGTGCTCTTCCTAAAATTTCACTTGTCAGAACTATGAAGAGGCTTCCAGGAGTTTCCATGGAAAAACAAAAAATTCAGGCACCTCACCTTAGCATTTAAGGCCTGTCTAGTGTGCTCAAAATTACTTATCCTCACCTAGCTCCTACTGCTGTTCTTAGAGGCTCTCCAGTCAGAAATGTGTCACATAGCTCCGCCTCCACACCTCTCTACTGCCAGCACATTCATGCAGGAAAAGTCTTCACTTGTCTCGGTCTTCGCCAGGCTTCTCTGCGCCAGGAAGTCTCCCCAAACCACAAGAATCTCACTATCAGAGCCACCTGGTACCTATCTTTCCAACTAGATTGGAAGCTTTGGAAGATTAGCTTTGTCCTATACTCTCCACCCTGAAAAGTTCAGAAAGCCCCCTTCCCTCCCAAGCAGTGAATAACAACCAGCAGGTGCCTATTACTGAGTCACAGAACAGCTGAGCTGGGAGAGTCTCACAGGTCACCCAGCCAGTTCTCGTAGATTTGGGGAATCTGAGATCCTGAAAGAAAGCAGAACTGTGTAAAGTTACCCCGTGGTGCTGTAGGGGGGCCAGGCCTGTGCGCCATCCACCCACCCCCAGGCAAGCATCTGACCTGTCCCCTGGCCCAGCCCTTAGGCCCAGCCTTCAACCTGGGAGATTTTACTTCTTGTTTCTCAGGAGATGTTGGAAAGGAATCAGCAGGTGACTGTTGCTAAGCAACCAAAGGGGGTGGTGGTTCCCAATTGTCTTGGGACAGAAAGGGGAAGAGCGCCCTCAGATCCAGATGTTGCCAAGGAAACCCAGAGCGCCCAGCTGTCTGGAATGAAGTGACAGAAATAGAGAACAGTAGGCCCTCACACGGAGGCCTGCTCCTCTAGCAGGGATGGGGAGGCCTCTTCCCAGGGCCTGTCTCTCCATTCTGAAGGTTCTGCATCCTGTTTTGTCAATTCCCTAGATGGTTTTGAAGTTAACATTCTGTTAAACCATCTTCGTAGGTGCTTGGTAGGAAGGCAAAGCCGAATCCTTGTGGTTTAAACAGACTCTCAGTGCATTAATTAGTTTGAACCATATAAAACTGAAAATTTTCAACGGTTTTTGAGTTTAAAATGGCACTTTGATATGGGGCAGTGTAGCAGAATAATACCAGACAGACAAAACCTCGCAAATGCCTTAACTTCTTTTTTTTTTTTTGAGACGGAGTTTCACTCTTGTTACCCAGGCTGGAGTGCAATGGCGCGATCTCGGCTCACCGCAACCTCCGCCTCCTGGGTTCAGGCAATTCTCCTGCCTCAGCCTCCTGAGTAGCTGGGATTACAGGCACGCACCACCACGCCCAGCTAATTTTTTGTATTTTTAGTAGAGACGGGGTTTCACCATGTTGACCAGGTTGGTCTCGATCTCTCGACCTCGTGATCCACCCGCCTCGGCCTCCCAAAGTGCTGGGATTACAGGCTTGAGCCACCGCGCCCGGCAAATGCCTTAACTTCTAACCAAAGACTTTAAAACTCTGGTTGGACGGTCTTAAAGCACTATGCTGCAGGAATAATGAGAAAAGGGGCAATTAATCCTACTAGGAATGGCTCAAACTGAATTGTGACAGGCAGAGGACATTCCTCACAGAGGGAAGATGAATACACTTGAGCCCCACATCTCTGTCCATCCCTGATGATCAAGACGTCTTCCCAGACCCACAGCTGCAGGGGCCAAGTAGTAATAGCTCTTACTAGTTTGTAAAGCACTGTTCTAATGCTTTACAACAAAACTCATCTGATTCTTTCATTATCCCTAGGGAGTAAAAAATTATCCCAATTCTACACATGGCAAAATGGAGACCCAGAGTCACTTGCCCAAGGGTCACACAGCTAGTGGTAGAGCTTGGGTCTGGATCCAGGCCATGAGTTCCAGGTTTGTGCTCATGGCCATCACAAGGCCCTACTGCTCAGGATGAATGCAGCTGGTCTCTGGCCAGTGCCTGGTGCTCTGGCCGCTCTCATGGAGCTACTGCCCATGATGCTTTCCTTTTGCCTGGTTAGTTTGCGAGACTTGAGTCTACCTTTGGATTGCCTTCCTTGGCCTTACGCCAAGGAAGATGAGGCCTTATGCCCAGAGGGGAACTTAAGTTTGGAATTCATGTAGCACAGACAGAGCTAGGCTATAAAGGTCACAGACTGGCTATATCAAGGCCCATGCTACCCAGAAAGCTGCAGTTTTAGTCCCTAATCAACTGTGTGACCAGGACTAGTCACGTTTTACTTCTCTGTGCCATCTATAAAATGGGCATAATGATTAAAAACTTTAATCATCTTAAATGATTTCTTTTAAATCTGCATACAATAAGGTATATGCTTTATACACTAAAGTTCTATGGGTTTTCTCAAATGCATTGTCATGTATCCACCATTATATATCATAAAGAATAGTTTCACTGTCCTAAAATATCCCATGTACTCTATTTCACTTTTTCCTAATCCACTCCTTCTGAATCCCTGAAAACCAGTGATCTGCTTACTATCTCTATAGTTTTCCCCTTTTCAAATTGTCGTATAAATTGAATGATTTATACTGGCCTTTTCAGCCTGGCTTCTTTCTCTCAGTAATATACATTTAAGATTCACCCATGTCTTTGCATTGTTTGATGGCTCATGCCTTTTTATTACTGAATAGGATTCCTTTATATGGATATACCACAGTTTGTTTATCCATTCACTTGTTGAAGAACATCTTGGCTGCTTCCCATTTGGGATATTGTAAATAAAGCTGCTATAGACATTCAAAAAAAAAAAAACCAAAACAAACAAACACACACACAACACTACCAGTGTTGTGAGGCTCAAATAAGCCAAAGGTTATTAACTTGCCTTAAAAATTATAGTGCTGTATCATTTTTATCAGCATTCCCAAGGGAGCTCGCACTATACTGACAGAGTGCCAAGGCTACTGGTATTCCCAGCTGCCATGTGGCAGTAGCAGGAGCTACTAGAATGTTCTCAGCACAGGAATGAGGCTTCCTTGGTTTCCATGTCTTTCAGAGTACTAATCACCTTATTCTCTTTGAGACTTGAATTTGTAGACATTTCTTTATTGATATGTCAGATTGCTTGCAGCTATCTTTAAATGACAGCAATTCTCTAATATTTGGTTTAATAAAATGTGAATAATGTCCCTTTTAACTATGGTCTTTATTAGGAGTTCATGTTGCTTCAAGTCCCTGGCGCTCAGACCTGGACAGGCCCTCACTCCTATCCTATTCCTTCCACAGCCTCCTGGTGATAGTCAGCTGCTCCCTGATTAACTATCTCTAGGAATGGGGCATTCACTGCTTCTGACGATAACTCACTAAAGTTCTAATGTGTAAACAAACCCTGACTTCCACCTGTTCTCATCCAAGACAGTATTATAGCTCACTGCAGCCTTGAACTCCTGATCCCAAGTGATCCTCCCGCCCCAGCCTCCTAAGTAGTTGGAACTAGAGGCCCATCCCAGCATGCCTGGCTCACGTACCACCTTCTAACATATTGTGTGACTGACTGACTATACTGTGGATTTTTGTGCATCTGCTCCCATCTCAATGGAAGTTCCCTGAGGAAGGAATTGGGGCTGTTAGTGGCCATATCCTCTGTGCCTAAAGCAGCGCCTGGCACACAGAAGGCCCTCAGTATTTGTTCAGAGAAGGAACACATGCCATTTCCCTCTGCTCAGAGAGGAGTGCCTTCAGCATTTTTGTGCCTACAAGATCCTGTGACCAATCCTTTCTCTGATGTGGAGTGACTGCTATATGATGCTAACTAAACACAGAGGCCAAGGGTGGGAAAGGGATAAAGGCAGTGGAGAAGTAAAGGGCTGTAAGCAGTCAGAATGAAGGCTTACTACAGTAGAGGAGCTGTGCAGCCAGCTCTCGCCCCTCTCTGCAGCCAGCCAGCAACTGGAGGGTATGGACTGCTTTGGAGCCACCTCCCGCTCTGGGCTGGCCAACTTGAAGCAGAGACTGCTTCACTGGATCTTTTTCTCTCTCCAGTGAGCTGACACAGGGCCCAGCCCAGAAATGTCTGCTGTCTAAGGAGCAGGTAGAGGTGGATGATGGCCAGGTTCCTGGAGACCACCATTCCTGCCCCCGCCTTACTCAGACACCCGACAGCACCAGCAAGGGAACTGAGAATGCAGAGAATGGCACTTTATTTTAAGACTTGATTTTTTTGCCATGATTATCTACCAATTCTTCCATGATGGTGTCATCTTCTTCAATAGTGACCAGGACCTTCTTACCCACTAGATTGAAGATGTCTTCAGGAGGATAGCCTTTGGGCTCACCTACTTTCACGGTGAGCATGTCCATTGTTAGGATGGTGCCTTCCGGAATTTTCACTTTGGCCACCACAGACTTGCCCAGCTGTGGACAAAAATGAACATTCAGTGCCAACTAGCGTACACTACGTACACTCTAGGTCCCGATCAGTACCAAGGCAGTACCTTGGGAGCAAGGACTCTTGTCGACCCCTACACTGCTCAGAATCTTATACATTCAGAGACTCAGAGGAGGGGCCTTTACAGTAAAGTGCAAAGGAAAGAGCTCAGGCTATATAGGCAAAGCCAGATTCAAATTCCAGTCAGCAGTGTATAGGCCATGTTTTAGTTTCTGTCAGACTATCCTGTCAGATGACTTTAAGCATGCAAGGAATCAATTCTGCTTGGAATGTAGTGCCAGGAAAAAATGTCGGTCAAGTAATAATCTTGCATCCTGTTATGTTTTACTATGTGCTCAGGGAGCCAAATTAAGTGCTTAGCTGTTATAAATCTTACTCTGGTTTCTGGCCTAATTCTCTCCTGTTTCCTCTATAAAGAAACTTTCTTTTTTACTATTAATTTCCTGGTACATACGCATCTTTGATTTGGGGAAGCAGGAAGGTCCCACTAGAATAAAAGATGAGCACAGTCCCAGGCATGCCTGGTGTTGGTCTTTGCCTTGACAGCTGCAGAGGTTAGTGTGTGTGTGCCTGCAGCCCCTAGATGCCTGCCTGGACCTTCAGAGGCAAGAAGGTCCAGGCCATGGCTTTCAGAAGCCCTGATAG